ATATATATATATATATATATATATATATATATTATAGGATTATTCTAGAAGCCAATATTAGATATTTTTAAAGGCTAGAGGTCGGTTAAAAAGAATATTCAAAATAAATAAATACAAAGGGTAGTGGGGCCCACCTAAGAATAGACAAAGCCGAGTCTGACTCGTTCGTATGACGTGGCAGTCAAAAGTGAAACCAAATGACCGCGTAGCGTCCAAACCGCGTAACCGCGTTTGCTCTCTCTCTCTCTCTCTCTCTCTCTCGCTTTCCGTTGACTTTTCTTTTTATTCTTTTAATAATTATAAAGTTAAGAGAGAGAAATTTTACCCCCACGTTCCGGATTTCACTGCCCTCCGGTAATTTCTTTTCACTTCCCCCCTTTTTTACCGAGTAAAAGAACGGTTTCGCTTCGGTTTTACCGTTTGGCGGTGGGAAGAGAGCAGGATCCCCGACGGCCGCTTCTACAGTATGATCATTTCTATCTCTACGTGTCATGATTTAATTGGCTACCTTTTTTGCTACGTGGCAGCATGATAAGACAGGTCTTCTCCGATTCTGATCCGTTTAAATACGTGATTCTGTCTGACGCTCTTCTTTTTCTATTTTTCAGAGCCTTTCTCTGTTATTTTACTATTTTACCCCTGGAGAGTTTGGCTCCTGTGTTCAGTAAAATTCCAATTTCGTTTTTGGCAAGTTCAAATACCTAAAATACCCTTTCATTTTCTTTTTTAAAATTCTCTTTTATTTTTTGGAAATTGTTTCTTCATTTTTTAACAAAATTTTCTCACATTAATTAGTAAAGCTTTTCTAATAAAATAATTTTATTTAGTTTTTAAAAGATTCCTTCTAGAAGTTGAAGGGTGTGGCAGTAAAAATAAAACCTAGTGGGGTTTTGATATATTACTTTGTATTTTCAATTTTTGTAATAATGGCTTTTGCAAAGATATTCCAAATCAAATAATTAGATCATTATTTAATTTACTTATTTCTGTTATTATTTTTATATAATTTTAAAATAATTGAGACTTACAAATTGCATATTGACATAATTGGAATAAGATGTGAGACTATTTAAATAAAATAAATAAATTAACTGATTGAGACCTTTTTAATTACTAAAATATTAATAAATATTAAGATAATGAATTAAAGAAATCTTTTAAAGAGAGGGCAGTATGGTAAATTTGCAGTCCAAGTGCCTGACAAAGGAAGAGTGAAAAAAAGGTCAAGAATGGGGAACTGGTAATTACTAGAACATAATAAGGGTAAATTGGTAAATAGGAAAAAGAAAAGTCCAGATTCAGAGCATTTAAAGCAGAGGTGGAGCGCTCGTATAAAACTCCAACTAATTCTCTCCGTCCTTACACTTATACAGAGTTTGCTCTCTTCTTCTTGTTCTTTGTTTTTCTTCTCCGGCCGGTGACCGCCGATCTTCTCTCTAGATTTCCTTGTTTCAGAGTTTTTCTGAATCATTTTCTCGTAGATAAAGTCTTCTGCATACGATTTTCTTCTCGAGTGATCAGCAATGGCGGATCAACTTACCGACGATCAGATCTCTGAGTTCAAGGAGGCCTTCAGCTTATTCGACAAGGATGGCGACGGTTCGTTCTGATTCTATTCGATTATCTTTTGGTTGATTTTTATTTGATTCTGCACCGCTTTTCGTTGTCGTGTTCGTCAGTGTGCCGGATCTCTTGTTTCCATTTCTTCCTTCGGCATTGCTCTGTTTTTCGTTGGATTTTCTCCTTGCTATGCTATGTGTTTATTTTTTATTTACACGGATTTTTTTTATTCGTTTCGGTTTTTTTAAGAATTTATTATTTTATTTTCTGCGATTCGTTTCGCGTGTTCGTTCGTGTTGGATCTGTGCATCCTTTTGCGGATTCAGTATTGATTTCTAGTTTTGTATGACTTCGTTTAAACGTGGAAGCTCAGTTTTCCCTTGTGATGATTCTGATTCTGATTCTGAGTGAAAAATTTAATTACGATGGATGTCAATGTATCATAAGGATGTGGCCAATTCAATTCACTCATTTTTCCTTTGCCTTCATATCGATTTTGCAGGTTGTATAACAACCAAGGAGCTTGGTACTGTTATGAGGTCACTAGGTCAGAATCCAACCGAAGCGGAGCTTCAGGACATGATTAATGAGGTCGATGCTGATGGCAATGGAACAATCGACTTTCCCGAATTCCTAAACCTCATGGCTAGGAAGATGAAGGATACGGATTCTGAGGAGGAGTTGAAAGAGGCATTCCGAGTCTTCGATAAGGACCAGAATGGCTTCATCTCCGCTGCTGAGCTCCGCCATGTGATGACCAATCTCGGCGAGAAACTGACCGAGGAGGAGGTCGATGAGATGATCAGAGAAGCCGATGTGGATGGCGATGGCCAGATTAACTACGACGAATTCGTCAAGGTCATGATGGCCAAGTGAGAATCATGCCCCCCTTCTACTATCACCAGAATTCAAAGATAATAATTCTACTCAAAAAGCAAAAAAAAAAAAAAAAAAAAAAAAAAAAAAAAAAAAAAAAAAANAAAAAAAAAAAAAAAAAAAAAAAAAAAAAAAAGAGGGTTGGTCTACTTTATAATTGGATTCTCCTGATTTTCCCTTTGATTCCCGTCCACAGTCTTCATCGTCAGTTAAAAAATTGGGATTTTGTTTTATACAAAATCCCTAGTAGGAAAATAGTTGTCTCTGCTTTATTTGTGACGTTTTCAATTTGAATGTATCATGTGACAAGAAAAGTGTCCTCGCTGTTCCTCATCTCTCCTTTCTTTCTTTCCGTTTTCTTTTTCTTTGCCAACCTCTAATGTGATTGGATTATTTAGCCAAGTTACGAGATGTACTTTTAATATACTACTTTTGTCCAACAGACATGAATGATCCGGAGTAGTTCATAATTTTTCACAGATGTTCTTAACGAATTACATCGTATGTTAAAATGGGAGTTCGTGTTGATACTAACTATTAAAATATCAAAAAGCTTCTTAAGAAACCAACTTGATTTGGACCCGAAAGGTAACTTAATTATTTGATTTGAAACTCAACTTGATTGGACCATTATAATAGATTGAATTTTGGACTGGTCCATAGTATAAATGGCAATGTTCAAAAGGGGAAATAAAATCTTGAATAAGAATCCAACTACATCAGTGATTCAAGTGTGTTCTTCATTACAAATTCCACAGCATTTTTAACTTTCAGTTCTCAATTCTCTCCTCTAAGTGCTCTGCTGTGTATTATCGAACAAGAAAGAGAGCTAACCTTAAATTCTGGCATTAATAGACAGTCTCATTCATTCACTCATATTCATTAAAACATCACAATCTCTTCAAGCTTTTCTTTCTTGCATCTATTTTCTTCTTGTCACCCTGCATCTTCAAGGGTCCATCTTGTTTTTTCACCACTGCTGCTGCTGGTGCAGCCACGCTGGAGCCCCCGACTCCCGACTCTAAGGCTGGTGGTGTTGTAGTGTTCGACTGCTGCTCCTGCCCTCCTCTAACTGCATTATTAGAATTTGCAGTTGGACATGCCGATGACAGTACAGCAGCAGATGTGTTTTTGAGATCTGTATTAAGCGCAGACGCATTTGTTGGGTCGACATTTAGCGCAGTTGTGGACTCGGAGATGGCTCCCGACTTGAACTTCGGTCTTGGCTTTGCATGGATTCCGGTATAGAGACTGGAAAAAAGCAAGCAGAAAGTTCGCTACATGTCTCGAGCTTGATGACTATATCATCATCATGTTTGAAAAGATGCAGATACTATTTTTACTGGGAAATAAAATTCTTTAGGACTGATAGAACAGAGCAATGGAGATGAAGACACAAGCATATGGATACTTTTACAGTTCGGACGAATTTGGGATGACTTTTCAAGAGTAGATGTACTTTTAGTGTGATATATTTGGTTGGGGAGGAGAACAAACCACTATTTATAAAGGTGTGAAAACCTTCCCTAGGAGACACTTTTTAAAGCCTTGAGGGGAAGTCCGAAAGGGAAAGCCCAAAGAAGACAATATCTGCTAACAATGGATTTGGGCCGTTACAACGGGGAAAAGACACAAGGCGGTGTGCCAGTAAGGACGTTGGCCCCAAAGGGGGGTGGGGATTTGGAATTTGGGGGCGGTCTCACATCGATCGGAGGAAGGAAAGAGTGCCAGCGAGGATGGTGGGCCCAGAGGGGGGTGGATTGTGATGTCTCACATTGGTTGGAGAGGAGAACAAACCACCATTTGTGTGAAAACCTTCCCCTAGTAGACGCGTTTTAAAGCCTTGAGGGGAAGCCCGAAAGGGAAAGCCCAAAGAGGACAATATCTGCTAGCGGTGGATCTGGATCGTTACATTTAGAAAACATAACCAATGGGAAAAATTGGATTCAATTGTTAACTGCTCCTATCGTAAATAGGATTGACTATGGATTCAAGCCATTGCACACCGTTTTATAAAACTATATGATTTTCTCAATCTAAATAAGGTAGGTTTTATCGGAAGAAGATTTGGCTCAACATGTACTATTCGATACGAGTAGGAAAAGAACGTGTGTCTTCCAAGCTTTTACAGCTTTCAAACTTACTTTTGGTTGTACAAACTAACGTCGTGAATACTTAGAAAGGACTTTTCACTCTTTCAAAAGTCGACCTGAGCTCACTCTTATAGATTAAATAGTGATTTTGGGTCGACACCAATAAAGTCGACAGAGGTCTATCTAAAAAAACATTAGCCATTCCAACATTTCATATAAGCCTACAAAAACCAGATAATTTGGAGGGGGGCCTGACTCACCTGGCATGTCTGGCATATTCATCATAATTTTCAAGCAGCATCTTGCCAGCTTGTTCATTCAAAGCTGATTCTGGAAATGGTTCAATCAGTAGACATCTAACAACCTGTTCCACAAAACACCCATCATTACAGAGATTCTGGAACAAAACCACAATGAAATCAATATATTAAGGGATTTTTAAAACTGATCTCTCCAACCAATTAAGAAAATATCAGGAAAGAAGGAGATTTTACTATTAGGACATGCCGCAGCCCAAGGCTTGGATTCCAATCTTTCTTCAAAGTGTTGACACAAATCTCACCATTGGTTGCAATGTTTGGATGAAAGATCTTAGTAAGGAAGTAACCTACAAAGAATAAAAAAAAGTTAAAGAGATAGATGCCATTGAGGAGATCAAGATGCAAGAACTTCCCGAAGTGGAGAAAATTTCTTTTAATTTATCAACTAATTACATGAACTAAATCCTCAGATAAATCTTGTCCACAAGATGAACAACTACTGGGTTCATTCGAATATAAAATCCAATCCTGGAAATACAGCATCCCACTTTTTTTTTTTTTTACTACCCAGAGCTTCAATACATTTCAAAATTGAGAAATTTCTAATGGAGCAAGTGCTAAGAACAATTAGCCGATCTGGATTTGCGACTATAGGCCAAAAGCCGTTTAATGTCATAAATTTAATCCAATCATTATCAGAGCAAACCTTTGGGAGGAGAACACGGGAAGTCACGAGACAATATCAACTTCATACGGAAGAGGCCATTCTCATAGGGAGTTCCCACTGCAATGGCAACAATCATAATTCAGTAATAAGAGTAAAGTCCAGCTCAAAGAGATAAATTTCAGCGATGGAGTGATAAATGACATGCCTGGGCCTTCAATGTCAGCATATATTGTCGAGAAGTCATCATCGTTGACGCCTACTTTTATGCCTTCAGGAGGGGATTCGTCGAGGCTCTTCAACTCTTTTGCCAATTGCTTTATAACATTCGGTGGAAGGTTTTCATTGGTGGCCTGAAACAAATTGAAAGAAATGCACCGTTAATAGGGAATATCATTAGATGAAATGAGAAACTATTTTTCATGTGATATGACCTAGAATGTCAAAATAAAAATATTTAAGCATCACGGCATGACTGATTGTTTGTATCTTAATTCGTCGCCTTCTACATCAAAACAATTCATACAACTAGGCATCCAAACCAAGGGATAAAGATGTGAAAAATGTACATCCTAATTATTGCTCCGACTCCTGCAACCACTGAAACCAAAGATAAAGGGAATGCCTATTCATTCAAAGAGTAAAATACAGAGCTCTAAATCTCTGGAAGCATGGTCTCTCAACTCTAAGCATAAGGTTCCCTTAACCCTCCCAAAAAGACTTCGTGCTCAGGCATATATCTACATAAAAATACCTCATCTGGGAGGGGGAGTGGCACATACCAATACCATATCTAATGGGGGGACACAAAGCACGTGTATGCAACTGCTAAATTGAATAACTTCATTCAACAAGAATACCTCCACCACTTGGGGGGGTGTGGTGCCGGGCATACCGATTTCTAGTATCACACCGAAACAAAATATAACGTCTGATAGGCAAAAAATTACCATATCCAATGGGGGAAAAACAAAGCACTTCTACGCAACTGCTAACTTGAATAACTTTATTCAACAATCAACAGTGAAAAACTTCAACTTCGCGGAGTACGTAATCCAGAGGCAAAGAAGAACCTGCAAATAGAATTGGAAGTAAGTGTACAGAATAAAGTGAGATCTGGGTAATGGCTAAAAGGTATTTAAATTGAGATACATAAAGAACATAAGAATAGGGTATCTGCACTAAATCCATTTTGCTTTGCAAGAGGAAAATGAATAACTAGCATCAAACCCTTTCATAAACTTTAACAGGCAGTACAATAGCCATAGATAATTAAATCTGTTCCAGAGTTGAAACAAGAATATCAATAGAATGCTTATTGAAGCTCTAGTCAAGTTTTTGACAAATTATAAGAGAAACATACATATCTTGTGGCCATAAGTTTCTCTAATACACCTATGCAGTTAGGATGCACAATATCAAGGACACTGATGAACTGACAGAACAAGTCTAAAAGGGATCGACCGAGCAACATGACCAGATTAATTAATCTGCATAAATGTTGTCTAACACTAAGAGATTATGCCACCTTTGTACTCGAGCATTCTACATCCATCCCTATGCAGAAACATAAAATAAGAATAGCACCAAAATATGTTTTGCCACTCATGGTGTACATGCCAAATATGGGTAGAAGCAAGAGAAATTACAACTAAGATGGGCATCCAGTTTTATGGATTAACTCTTAGATATTGCCACTGTCTCACGGAAACACAAACATTTATCAGTATAAAACCCTGATGTCATATGAATAAAAGTTGATTTCAACATTAAGACTCTAAAACCAAAAACCAAATTGTTAATCTTCCAGGTCTTAAACCTTTAAATGATCTAGATAGTAGCATATTTTACAAGGATTGCATCATCTGAGTGAAGAACAGAAGGAAAATCGTTACTTAACACTAACAAATAAACACAGCCAACAACCTTTGGAATTAAAAACAATCGACCACTGATTTATGCAAAATTATTTTATGAATTGAGAGTTAACAAGAAATGGTGCAAGAATGAAACAATTAGAGCTCCAAAATCAAACATCAGGAAAGAGCATTTTGTGTCAAAAAAAATACTTCCCGTTGCTAAAACCCCAAAAGAGAAGTTTATAAAGGGGAAAAACACAGTGATAAAGAAAGATTTCGGGGCTGAAATTTATGAAAGAAGTGCCCTAATTGCTAAGACTAACTTCGAACGCTTAAACTACAGCATCGGAAGAACAAAACACTTGTGGAAACATTCCAATCGACGGCAAGAACAACCAAGAAAAACCCTAATTCTCTCAAAATCCCCCATCCCCATTTGCACATTCACAGTAAGTAACAAGAACAAAGCTCTCATCCTTCAAAAAGAAAAAAGGCAAGTCGAGAGATCGAAAACTACCCGATCGAA